GTGGGGAAGCGCCGCTCCTGTCGCCTAGCAACCTTCACAGCTGCGGTCCACCGGCAATAGAGACGAATATTTTAATTTTAATATTTTACCTCTTAATAGAGGAACTAGAGATACTTCACCGCCGGCGCCGCCGCATGATGTATCTCAGGCTGAGAGAGGACCCTGGCCAGGTAAATACGGGGGAAAGTAACTAAGAAACGTTACATTTTATATGTAGTTAGGTACTATGGGCTTCCTAAAGCTAACAGTGATGTTAACCTCAGTTAACGTTGTTTATTGCTACTGCCATTTCACTTTAACAACATAATTTTCATATTTAAAGAAAACCTAACCCTACTTAAATATTAAAATATTGACAGTGTTTTTGTCATTGATCAGCTAAAGCAAGTTGAATAGAAAGATATACAAGCCTTATCTAACTAAGCTCTCTACACTTCATAACAGTTGTTCTTCTCCTTGTATCTCTAAACCAGCCCCGGCCCCTGTACTGCAGGATAAATTTGAGAGTTCCTGTGCTGGACAGGTTTTTTAGCCAGCAGGACACACGGCCAGATTTCCGGTTGAGCAGGGAGGCCCTGGGAGTGCTACTGGGACCCGGATGGGGTGCCACGATTGAGACCCTGGTGTTTCTCTTCTGGCTGGCAAGTGGGGCATCGTACAGGGTGGTCTCCAGAGTGTTTGCAATGCCTCGATCCACTGTCCACCGCATCGTCCACAGAGTCACTGAGGAGGTGGTGGCCATTCGCCACAAGGTCATCCACCTACCGAAGACCCAGGATGGGCTGACAAGACACAGAGCCTTTTTTACAGCAGCTGGAGCAATCGACGGCTAAATATGCTGTAAAAACTATTAGTTATAAAGACAAGACACAGAAAATAAAATAATTTATTTAACAAATTTATTTATTTTATTTATTTGAATTGATTAATAAATATTATATATATTATTATTTAAGGATTTATTTATTTTTTGGCCAGTCTCTCTAGTAGAGAGAACAGCCTGTCCATCCTCTCTCTGCTCTCCTCTCCTCTGCCTCTCTCTGTAACCTCATGTCTTCCTTCAGTAGCTGAAGCAGCTCATCCTCTCTGACCCTCTTTCTCGGCTGGCTCTCCTCCTCCTCCTCCTCCTCCTCCTCCTGGTCACCCACTGTAGTTCTTGGCCCTGGTGTGTCCTCATGGATAGAGGCAATTACGACAGGTGGGGTGGTGGAATGCCTCTGTCCCAACACCTCATCCATGAGGACAAACCAGGGCCAAGTTGCAGCAGTGGGATTCCCCCCTACACCCTCTTTTGACCCTGGACACTTGCAATCCTAAGGCACAGGAAATCAATCATGGTAAATAACAACAGCAGAAAAACAAATTTCAGCAACTGTGTTTATTAACGTGCATGACTAAAATGAATGAAATGAAGATACAACGTACAAGGTAAATGTATGTATTATATTAAAACAGGGTTGTAAGATGAATGCGGTTTATATTTCCCTTTATGCTGCACAGTGAACGATTTATACAAAAATCAAATTCAAATCGTACATACATACTTTGTATTTTTTTTTTTTATTGTCCCACTTTTTTTTCACTTGGAGGGAAGTCACCTTCCCCCACAGGCCCATTTTCTCCAAAATTGTCCTAATCACAGAGAAACAAAAGAAATAAGAAAGATAAGATAAGAAAAAACATTATTTGTCCCACAGTGGGGAAATTGCGGTACATGGTGAGTGTGTGAAGACACAACAAAGGGCTGCCCCATCTACTAGTTGTCTTATTGTTAAAGGCTTTGAATAGGATGGCGGCTCATTTAACTGTAACTTTACGTACATGATGATTAAATGCAGATCTTGCGAAAGGGCTATTGATACTTTAATTACCTCCAAGCCACGATGGCAGAAAACTTTGCCCCGGTGAAGAGGTGGTCGCTCTCCCCCCTCAATTTAATAAAGAGGGCAGTTTGCTCCTTGCTCCCTAAAACAAAACGACATGTTCAAGTAAGTTTTATGCTTCACATCACCAAACAGTAAGCAGCATAAATCACAAAACAACCTAGTTACATTAACCGTGTACTATATCCCAAGGTTTTTGTAACCGTTACTAATGTTAACGGTGTGAAAACCAAGCAGGGTTCACAACCTGTCTAACGTTAAATTAGTCTAACGTTACGTGGTAACGTTATTTTCATGTACATAATATTAAGTATAAGTGATGTATAATATCGCGACAATCTCGGTAGGACGCAGGTCTGACTCTGAACCTCTTCGATTTAAAGTGAAGACGTTAAAGGCTTTATTTTTTAGGTTGTAACTTGCCCAAACGATTTGCATTTAACGTTAACGTTAGCACATCAGTAACCTCAGGTAATGTTAACTTAACGTTAGCTCGCCAGTTCATCACTTAACTTACGTTAACTTCTTCCACAAAACTATTCTTTAAACGACACATTGCGCTTTTATGTCTCTTGTTATTTTTACATATGTGTAGTTGGCTTTTGAAGTGAGTTAAAATCCAATACTTATATTTATAGGTAAAATCCGGGGGGCTCAACTCCACAGCCACAGCCGACACCATTATTTACGCTGGGACAATCAACTGGCACGCAATGAATATCAGGATACCTGGGGCTGCGAAGGATCCAGCTGTTGGATCCTCCAAACGGACGAAAAGAAGGCTGCATTTGTCGGCCGCATTTGAAGGAGCCTTCGAAATGGGACAGCCTAGTCGCATTGACTGTGACGTATTCGGTCTTCAAATGCAGCCTTCGAAGGATGCGGTCCCTGAATTGAGACACAGCTTCAGAGAGCAGAAATATAGAGGCCACACCACAAGATGCAAACCACTCATCAGCAGGAAGAATCTAAAGGCCAGACTGAAATTTGCAAAGAAGAACAGAGATGAGCTGCAAAAGTTCTGGAAACCAATCTGATGGACTGATGAGACCAAGATTAATCTCTAGCAAAGTGATGGAAAGGCCAAAGTGTGGAGAAAGAAAGGAACTGCTTATGATCCGAAGCAAACGAGCTCATCTGTGAAGCATGCTGGAGGTGCCAACAAACTGCCAACAAAACAAAGGACTTCATCAGGACTTCATCAGGGGAAAAAGTGGAAGGTTTTAGACTGGCCAAGTCAATCAGCTGACCTTAACCCAATAGAGCTGCATTTCACCTCCTTAAGAGGAGACTGAGGGGAGAAACACCCCGAAACAAACAAGAAGTGAAAGAAGCTGCGGTAAAAGCCTGGAATAGCATCACAAATGAAGAATGTAACAGTTTGGTGATGTCGATGGGTCACAGGCTTGAGGCAGTTATTGCAAGCAAGACTTGTTTTCCGTGTGTGTGTGTGTGTGTGTGTGTGTGTGTGTGTGTTATGATATGTCCCTGACAAATACAGTTTCACTGGGACTATACATGTTCTCTGATTTAAATAAATAATATAGTTGAGCATCTCAGATCCACCTGTGGAATTCAAACAGTGTGACTTGGATCAACTTCTGTGTAATAGAAAAGAAAGAGCACAAAGTCATGTCTTTAATCCAGATGACTTGGGTAATTTTCTAATTTTCAAAAATTTCTCAGTGTAAGGTCCCATATACTAGTGAACATTCAAATCATGGGTCCTCCTGCCCAAACAGCTGTGTGCAGACTTGCTTTGGGTTCAGTACTAAAGGTGGACAGTATGCAGAACATTTCATGCTGCAGTGGTTGCCTGTTCTGACAGACACTCAGTGGGTGAGTCTCTGCTTCAGGAGCTGAAACAATTACTTGATTAATCAACAAATTGTTTTTATTGTTTCACATTTTGGACGGATGTATGATTGTAAATTTAATATCTCAGTTTGGACTGTTTGTTGGACAAAACAAGAAATCTGGAGACGTCGCTGTGGGAAATTGTGGTTGCCATTTTTCATTATTTTCTGTCATTTTTTCTGCTTGTGGTGTACGTTTGTTGGGGAATAACGTGAGGAAGATAATGTTGAATGTTGATTTGTGATGTGTGATGTACAGTGCTGTGAAAAAATTTCCCTCTGGGAACAAAGTCTAATAATTTCACTGACAAAATGATTGATAATGAACATGACAATGGTTTCAGACCTACCTGGTTCTCACCTTCAGGAGAATCCATTACTGAAGCCACTGCATACAACACAGTAGCAAGACACTGTTAACAGTTGCTTGTTTGAACAGCTGCTTACTTTCAGTTAGTTTCTTCTGTGAATCAACTTCATTAGGAGAGCGAGCACCAGAGCTGTGCTGACACCTGACTGTGGCAGCTTGTAAAACGGATTGATTTTGACATGCAAATGAATGTAGCTCTTTCTGTACTGTTCTTTGCAGAACAATCAAAAGGGAAAAACAATCCTACACATATCTGGAGTCAACATTAGTCTAAAGTTTAACTGACCTTTGTGCCTGAATCACTCGAGTCTTATTACTGTATGCACAACAAGCCTTTCCGTGAGTTTCTTAGATCTTTGGGGCACCGCACACACCTGTGTTAAAATATTGGCAATCGCCGGTTGTTGGGGTGACAGTGGCCAGTTGGAAAATTTTTACATTTCGCCCAATACTTCTGCAGACATGTTAGAAATGCGACGCGGATGCTTGATCATTTTACATTTGTTCAATCAAAAACGGCAAGCAAAGCTCCTCTTCTTGCTGTCATGAGGTCTCCGCCGCCGCCTTTTCCAGCGCACGTGTGGGACGTGTCTGCAGACCCCAATTTTATAGAAACGCATGCATGTCTCTCTGACAGGCAGACAAAATAAGCAACTAAATGGTGAATGCACTAGAACATCTGGCAGCTAAAGATGAAGAAGCTAATGTTGCTCCCTGTCTGCTGGAAGCAACTGGCAATAGGCAACTGTTTTCTTATATATCTTATATACATTGTTTTATTTGCTGTGTTTATGCTTTTGTATATATGTAAAATAAAAGAAATGCTGGTATGAGAACAACCAAAGCAAATGGTCCAGTATAAAGTTGAGTTTTGTTGTCTTTCAAATTCAGGTGGTGGTTTCAGTTTCCGTCCTCATTTCCAAGCAGACAATCGCTGGATAAGGAGGAGGAGGTCTCACCCGTACCCCCCTCACCTTCCCAGGGGGATGCCCAGACACGCTGCATATCGATGGTGAGCTGCGGAGGATAGAGAAACCCATTACAGCAGGGCCACAAGGACTCTTGATACAGCATTATCTGCGAAAAGAAATGATTCACAGATGATGGGTCACTGTCGGTGCTGAGAAAACTTGTTGGGAAATAAGGCAGATAAGGGGAATGGAAGTTAAGTGAATTTAAAGTCACAGGCTGTTGATGAGTAATTAAAGTTGGCTAGAAGCACAGTGACATGTATACCTGCGTTAGAATACACTGGATTGGAGAACATGCAGAAACACTGATCAGTCTAATTTAGGTTTTAGATGATGGAATTTTTACATGATGTTTTTTGACATAGGCATGGTGATAATAAAAGGATTTTCTTCTGATCTGTGCTGCTTTTGTGGGAAGCCTCAGAGCTATATTTCCTTACCCTGTTCTTTCTTTCACTTTATCCCCTACAACATTGAATCCTATCATCTGTACAGTGGGGTTCAATGTCTACAAAATCTAATCCACTGCTCTCCTCATATAATGCCTTGATCTGTAGCCTCAGGCAGTCGGCCACCCACAGGTACAGTGTTCACACTGCGAACAACGCAGAGAGCTAGTCAGCATTTGAGCCAGAAATGTGGACAGGGTGCTTTTCACCTGATTAAGTTAAGTCACCAGTCAAATCAGACTTTTGTGTTTGCATGTTCTCAATTTGACATGTTACAGAGAGAGAGCTGAAGAATGCAAGGTGGAGAACTAGATTTAGGCCAACCTCAGTCCTCTACGCGAGTTTGAACGAGGAACACAGAACAGATAATGTAAAGATTAAATGCTCTTTTTATATTTGCTTTTTTTTTTTTTTCTTGATTAAACCTTTAATAGTAGTTGCTTCATAAATTGAGCTTTTTACACACAGAACAGCTTATATGATGATTTTTTAAAAATGTAACTAGTTGGTAGAGTGCGGGCTCCATGTACCAGGCTTAGCTTCACCTCACCAACAGTAAAATCCTTTTACATGAATGCTTGACTAATAATAATCTCATCCTATAAAATATACTAAGGCACATTTTTCTGAATTGAGTACTTTTACTTTTAATACTGTAAGTCCATTTTATATGAACATACTTTTACTTAAGTAACATTTTCAATGCAGTACTTTTACTTGTAACAGTAGTTTTAGATTATTAGTAATTTTAATTAAAGAATCTGAATATTTCGTCCACCACTGATAGTTATACAGTAGTACTTGTTTATGGAGCCCCAGAGTGTTTTTTTTTTAAACTGTATATCAGTGTTGTAATAATTAAAGGAAGGATGAAAATCTTATACAACTAAAAACATTCTACAATAATTATTTCATAATAAATATTTTCATTTCAAAAAAGTATAATAATCACCTTGTCACTTTTCAGGGATGACAGTGGGGTTGGCACCAGCCTTGCACCCTTCAGCCAATCGCATCCCCCTAAAGCAAGCATGCTTAACAACTGCTACCGGATGCAGCTGCTGTTACCTAGGGCAACAACAACACAATAATGAAAGGAGTCACTAATCAATTAGAAGAAACAAACATATTCTTTATTTACCTTCACATGCTACCTACCTAGCTGGCTAACTAGCTAGATTGGGTTGTGAGCTTGGATTATTACTGGCATCCAATTGAGGAGACAGTTTGAATTAACCAGCTAACGTTTGCTGCCGTTGAGTTACTTCTGCTACATTTTGATTCAGAAAGAGACGCGTAACTCTGTGAAGACTAAAAAACATTAATGTCAACCGGATGTAGCTAACACTTGATCATGATGAAATACTTGAAAAATGTAAACCAAAACGTCTATCTGCTAACTACCCAAACTCACCACCACCTACTACCGCATGTGGGGAAAGAAATTATGCAGATGTAATGTTTAAATACCTTTTTAATTTTGTAGCTTTTTAGGTTGCTTGAATTGCAATTGCTTGCTTTTTTCCCTCTAATTTGATTGGTGGCAAATACAATTACTGACTTTGCCAATTAAATACCATTAAAAAAAGAAAACCATATTGCTTTTTGGCTATTGTGAGCTCAAATCCTATGGCCAGTCAGGCAAACAATTATGTTCTTGCCAATCAATGATATAATGTTGTTATATAAAAAAGAGACGGAAGGATGAATTTCCAGGTAATGTATTTCTGCATGCTTATTATTAGAAGGTCGGTGAGCTCAATTTATGTGAATTATTAAGGTTAAAATACCCTCTGCTCCCAGCGGTCTTTCGAGTGGTTAAACCAAACTTTAATGAAGCAGGTGTTTTATGGTAGGGCCATATTTTTTCTTTACTTACACTATCACTAAGACTCTTTTCTGATTCACTTTGGTCTACAGGCACAATCGGCGCATTTACTCAGTAACATTAACTGTGTTTGGCATATGAACATTAGAAAACTAATGACTCTGACACAGCCATTTGGGTTCTTTGTCTGTGAAGATTCTCAGTCCTCCAGGTCATAGTTATCCATAGTAGCTATGTCAAAAACATTTAAAAAAATGTATGTAGCCTACATTTCTTTTTTTAAAAGAAAAGTGTTTGCACCCAATGAGTTTGAGGACGTGTAGTGTAAGTTCAAATGGAATGTTATAGGAAGAAAACTGTCCATTTAAACATGAAGAAATGTACTGAAACCACCGTAAAAATTACGTAGTAAAGCTGTCCCTTTCATTACTTTATATTCATGTAATAAATATACACATGTCAACACATGGAAAGAAAAATCATCCTCTCCTAGTGATCAATTTGACCCATTCAGAGGCGATCACTTTAAGAGGTTTCCACTGCTTCTAAATCTTTACCATCCCCCGCTTAAAGTTTATTGGTTTCTTCTAAACCACAACTCTGGCTTACGTTTCATACACATCATTTTCTTTGTGGTGTACGTAGGTTCCTGCAACAAATATGTAGACTCTCCTATCTGTAATTTATGCACAACATGCAACATCATTGATGCAACCCTCATGAATATGTATGAGTGCTTTGATTCATTGGCCACAACCAAAACAAGCACATAAATGCCAAAATGAGACGTCATAAGGCGTGGAAAATCTACACATCTTACTATATATATCAGAAGTCGCACGCCCCTGCAGCAGCTAGGGGCAGAGATGCTCACAAGTCTTTGAGCAAGAGTCCAAGTCAAGTCTCAAGTCTCTCGTGGTTATGATGAATGTTGTATCACCTGCTGTGCTCAATCCAGGCTGCTTATAAAACTGCAAAGCTAAAAGGGATTCTGTAACTGTAACCTGTTTTTCATTTAAAGAGCACAACCATGTTGTGTGCAATGCAACACATCCCCCAGACTCTCAAACCCAGTGTAACGTTAACTAAATAAAACTGTAGCGTTACATGGTCAACAATAAACCTGTTACCTGTTTGCAGCCAACGTTAATAATTAACGTAATGGCAGACAGCAGGACGTAAATTATTACGTTAATCGACTGCCACAAGTTTGGCAAGTAAACAAACGCTCATTCATATCTTCATAACGAACAACAGCCGGACTAAACCTCCCGTAGGTCGTAGCTGAAGCAAGAAGCAAGCTAACGTTAGATGGCCAATGCTGAGCTAAACATGTTTACTGACCTCAGGTTACTAACTTATTTTGAGTTCTGAAGTTTTAAAGCCAAAGTTTATGATGAATGGCTCATCAGCTGCGCTGCTGGTTATCCTCTCTCACGTGTGGGAGCGCGCAGCTGATGCTACGTGTTACGTAGGCAGGTTATAGCTAACGCAGGGAGGGGGATAACAGAAAGCTCATCAGACGTTTCCTAAAAATAACATTGTTCACGAGTCCTGCACCTCGAGTCAAGTCTGAAGTCTTTAGAGGACGAGTCTCAAGTCGAGTCTGAAGTCACTGTATGCACGACTTAAGGCGGGCTCGAGTCCGAGTCTCAAACTCGAGTCCCCATCTCTGACTAGGGGTGAAGTGTCTTGCTCAGGAACACATTGGGACGTATCACACTGGGAATCGAACCCTGGTATCTCACACAAGGGCCCTGGACAAGAGACTGAATGAACACGAAGCACCTGGTTCCATATCTAAGTCACATGTTGACAGCTGAGCCAACATGCGCTGAGGAAGACTGTAAGATTCAGTTGAAAGCTTGACAAAAGCTTTAGTTAAACTGGAAACAGTTTCTCTTGTCGCCTGCTACTTCTGTATGTGGTTATATTTTTGTATTTGCAGGGTGTTTCTGTATTTGCAGCATGTTCTTACAGTGAAAAAAACAACTCAGATCCCCATGTATGAGCTGCTGTTTTATCAGTAGCTTCCCCATTTAACAGTCACCTTCTTCACCTCCTCTCAGCCTTGTCTCACTGCAGGTTGATGAAGCAGGACAGCAGATCTGCTGCCGGCTGATATCCATCTATGTCGGCGCGTGGGGGTTCATACACATCTTCAATTACATCCCATAAATGTCAGACTGCCTCTTCAGTCCCTGCCTCGGTTAGCTGTTGGCCTCACGGGGGCATCCACTCAGACGTGAGAGGAATCCGACTGACGGCATTTCCATACACAAGTGTGAGCATTCATTAAGTGTGTGTCTTATCGAGGAGTAAGACGATAAGCTGGCACCACGCAGTCCTCCAAGGAGGAGCGTGATAGAGCAATTAAGATGATAGTCAATTAGGCCACACGGCTAATTGACTTGTGATTAAACCCAGAGCTGATTAATAAAGTGAAGGCAGCTCTCTTTTTGGCCTTAATAGGGAGGAGATGTGGAATGAGAGCCTGTATATGGTGATGCATAGAAATAAACAGAGGAACATCTGGGCCCTTGTGTCAAGCTGGATGCTGGATAGCTTAGAAGTGTTCAAGTATGGCCATGAAACTGCCTTTTTTATTTGTTTTTCATCATTCTCTAGGTTCAGCAGCCTGTCTTTTGCAATTGCAAGATTTTGCTGTTGCACATTTGTGCAATGACTTCTTTGTTCTCTTTCACAGGTTAACACATTTTCCTCTAAAGTTTCCCTTGTTCTCAGAATCATAAACCAATCAAAACTGACCTAAACATACTTAAGTGTCATTAAACATCCACATTTTTTAATAAGAAAAAAGACTTAGCGGGAATGCGCCTCAAAGTCTGTGAGTGTGGAAATCAAGATTAGACCATAGGCTAATGTCTTATACGTTTCATACATACTGACCCGATTACTCTGGGTAATCCCCAGACCTCACTTTAAACAGTTGTTGGGAATTAAAATATTTTTAAAAGGAGCACCAAACTGTGTAGGTGCAATCAATTCAGTTTAGCTATCAGAAAGATCAAAGATAATAAAAAACAATGGCTTTAATATTTGACCCACCAAAATATCTGCCACCATGTTTGCTCACTTGAATTTGATTAAAAATGAAA